ACTAAGCCGTGCCGAACCAATTCCCTTTGCCACTGCCGAACCACTCATTCCTACACTTGATGAGTCCTTGTGTCTTGACAATGCACCTTACGTGGAACCACCGGAATCATCCATGCCAAGACAACCACGAGAGGAACCACACAAGGAGGTACATTCTACTCCCATTGATATTAATGCTTCGAAAGAAAACATTATTGGGGATGTACGAAAAGAAATTCAAGAATTGAGAGGAGATGTCTTTCAAGAGTTTGAGAAAGTCCAAAATCAATTTGGTAATGTTGATACCAAATTAGATGACTTTCACAAGAAAGCTTATGAAAGGGCCGAATCCTTGTTACTTGGACAAGGATCAATCCAAGGTGATATGGCCACAATGTCTACTAAGCAAGAAGAGCATAATATGGAAGTCTTGAAGATGTTCCTTGACTTAGGGAAGAAAGGAACGGAGTGTGAATCGAGGCTACGATTGGTGGAGAGTCAATTGAAAGCTCTACTACACCAAGTTGGCGTGAACAATGATCTATTAATTGGAGTCAAAACAAGCCAAGACAAAGCTTCGGCGAGTTTCCAAAGTTATGTGGATGCTGTCGAAAAGGGGGAAAGAGCTAGAGGTGCCCCAAGCCATTTGGTGAACCACTTGATTGGACCGTCGTCACAACGGCCACTAGTTGAACTTGTTAGACCGCCAGGAGCACCGAGAGGAGTCACACCCACACCGAGAGTTCAAGGCCGAGGAAAATGGAGGATAATGGATTATCTTGTGACCGCTCAAAGCTCGGACTTTCCTAGCCAACAAGAATGCCAAAGATCATCACATTCAAGATCAATTTATGAAGAAAACAAATTAAAGCTTATACGAGAGTTGGAGACATTCTTTGGGCACACAAGCAACGAAATGGTGGATGGAAGATCATTTGAAGAATGCGTTGCTTGGTACCAAGCCGGAGTGTTACGAGGTGACAATATTCAAGAAGCTTATGGAAATTATGTTACCGAGGAAGTCACCGCACCATACCAACTCGAAGGAGGAGAACAACACTTCAAGAAATTAAGGGCACACGTGAATGCCTTAATTGGCAAGAGGTAAAATTTTGAAGCCTCAATTTTTGGTGTACATAATAGCTAGCTTGTTCGAATTATGCCTTTTGGTACATAGTATAAATTGCTAGCATATGGTTTATTTCTTTATTGTGTCTAGTATGTTTATTGCTTTAAAGTCTCAAGATTTTAAATTGGACTTAGTAATTGCATGTGAGGCGTATAATTGAGAAAATAAAATTGAAAGGGGGAAGAAAAATTAAAAGATAAAAATCAATACGCAACCCCGCGTTATAGTCTCAATATACGTTTAGGACCGTCCAAAATTAAAATCTCTAGGTCTTAAATGTGTTAAACCCGTCAAATGGCTAGTCGCAATAAAATTGGACAAAAAGATTATTTTTCAAAATTGACATAGCCAAATGACTTGGGTATAAGTTTCGGCATCATCAAAAAGGGGGAAATTGTTAGGAATATATTGTATAAGTTTTGATGAGCCAAATGTATTTTGTAGACCCCAATTTTATTTTATTTGAGTCAGTTCTGGTTCACAAAGTATAGTGCACCACTGCCATGAAGCCTACATGAAGTCTACGTGAAAGCAGTTTGAAGGAAGAATAAATGAAAGCGAGATCACAGCTTAACACATTTATGAAGCATCAAGTTACCCCGGATGAGATGGATGAGATGGTAGAAGAGTTGAAGCATGCCTAATGCGAAATGATCCACAGTTCGATTCTCATTAAGAGCAATTTTGGTGTAAAGATGAATTGCTATCGTGAAGTAGCAATATCAGGAGATGATGTCACAAGAAAATATCATGAAATAGAAATTTTATATCGTGATAGGTATAATTATCGGATGATGACATCACAGTGTGGTAAGGCTAGTGGAGAACACGTGGAAGAAACAAGACAAAACAATTTAAGTCTTGGATTGTATTAATTGGATACTCAGTCGAGATGGAAGAAGCTTTGCCAAGCAAAGCAAATGGTCCACAGTTTGATTCCCACTTGAAGTAATTTTATGAAAACATGATATTGGTCCATGATATACAATGGAACATGATATCTGGTCCATGATACAGGTGAAACATGATAGCTAGCTCATGATATGAAATGGAACAGGATATATATGGTCCATGATACAAGGTGGAACATGATAGCTAGCTCATGATATGAAATGGAACATGATATATATGGTCCATGATACAAGGTGGAACATGATATATATAGTCCATGATACACTATTGGGACAGAAACATTATTTTGAAGCTCTGTTTCTGCAGAAGAAGTCGAAGGAGAAGAAGAAGCTGATATACGAAGTAGATCTTTTTATTACTCAAGCAAGAATCAGCAGATAAATTATTTGATCAACTTGGCACATCAGATCAATAATTCAACAAAAGTCATGCAAGAGAAATTCAAACTTGGAGGCTACCCATTCCAAAGAAAAGCTTTGTCAGATTAAAGGAGAGCAACATCGAGATTTCTCAAAATCTTCTGACAGATGCCGAAATGATTTTTGCAGACCAAGTTGGCAAAATTATTTGATCAACTATAATTCAAATTGGACGATCAAGATCGAAAGTTGATCAACGGGCAAATAGCTTTCATCTGCTATAAAATGCCCAAGCACACTTGAAGACAACAACAACTGGAATACGGCTGAAAAACAAAGAGAAAAGCAAGCAATATTCAAATCAGCCAAGAAGCAATATATTGAGCTATACACGATCAAATTCAAGTCTGAGTGAGAGAAAATTTTTATCTCTATTGTAAATCTTCTACTGAGTGTAGAAAAGGGGTAGAGTAACTAGGGAGAGTGAAAAACCCAGTTGGAGTGTAGCTTTGTGCGTAGCACTCGGTTGTAACGGGCAGAGTAACAAGGGGAGCTTGTGAAAACCCGGTGAGAGCGTAGCTTTGTGCGTAGTTCTCGTGGTGTAGGAGTACAGCTTGGTGCGAAGTACTCGGGAAGGCGGAGTAACAAGAGGAGCTTGCGAAAAACCTTGGTGGAGTGTAGCTTTGTGCGAAGCACTCGGAGAAGTGTCGCTAGGCACTTATTCACTATTGTATCGGGGTGATCGAAGAATAATGAATTTCCTCCTTGGAGTGAAAGGAGAAGAGTGGACTAGGAGGATTACACCACCTCTGAACCACTATAAATCTCTCTCTCTATTTACTTACTGCTCATATATATTTCCTGCATGCTTATATTATCTGTGAACTAACCCGTTACGGTTTATTGCGTATCTTTATCTGTCTGGGTTTGTTAGTTCCCTCGTTTGCATGCAAGTGAAATTTTATATACATCATCCTACATCTATATCAAGTGTTTCTATCGTGATGCATGTATAGAATATCTCTTTGAGCACGACACAATTAAAGCATAACACTTTGCCGTTACAATTCCGTCATGCACACTCTAAGTTATTATACTTGTTTATGCTTGTTACTTAGAGTTGAAGTTACCAAAGTGTTGTTTGCAAAAGAAGTTTGAAAAGTTAGAGAAGTCTATTCACACCCCCCCCCCCCCCTCTAGACTTCTCGCCACCCTTTCGGGACCAACAATATAAATGTTTGTTTAATAGAGGTGTGAATATAAATTTAATTTAAAAAAATATATATATATATAAAGGAATTTATATAATAAATTATTAAATTTGAAAATAGTTTAGTCCATAGGGTTGCTTAAATCGAGAAAGCCAAACTTAACGAAATTAATCTCTAGGGCCGCATGTTTGGTTTGCTTAATTCGAGAGGCTTAACAAAACCAAAGGTAATGCATTTGCCGGGAGTCGAACCCAGGTTTATTGCTTGGAAGCCAATTATCCTAACCGTTGGACTACAAACGCAATTTCATTATATGGTACTTTCTTTGTATAACGTTATGACATCTACATTCTCAACCGGGAATATCATACTGTTATTGAGAATAAGAATTATGTTATTTTCGAATCTCTATTTCTAGGTGAGGCCTAAGCGCATATCCTTAAACAATTCTTGGATTCAATGCAATATTTCTTCATGTGTGTCTTCCTTAGGTTCGAACGAAAGGCCTTCTTATGAAATTCAATGAGTAAGTTAAAAATAATCAATAATTAATAGAATATTTTGTTTCAAAAGTATAAACTGACGGGGTCCATGTGTATTTATGAAAAAGTAAGTGATATAATAGAGGGTAATGTAGAAAAAAATAATAAAAATTACAAAAATCAAAATAATACGAAGCTTTCATTTCAAGTTTCAACAACCGATTGAACAAACTTATTTTAGTAGATATTTTAAAAATACTAAGAGGTGAATAAATTGATATCAAAATTACAAACTGGTAAAATATAAAAGTTTGTTTAATAAAAGTGTGAATATAAATTTTATTTAAAAAATATATATATAATGGAATTTATATAATAAATTATTAAATTTGAAAAGAGTTTAGTCCATAGGGTTGCTTAAATCGAGAAGTCAAACTTAACAAAATTAAGCTCTAGGGCTGCATGTTTGGTTTGCTTAATTCGAGAGGCTTAACGAATGCAAAGGTAATGCGTTTGCCGAGAGTCGAACCCGGATCTATTGCTTGGAAGACAATTATCCTAAGCGTTGGACTACAAACACAATTTCATTATATGGTACTTTCTTTGTATAACGCTATGACATCTACATTCTCAACTGGGAATGTCACAATGTTATTGAGAATATGAATTATGTAATTTTCGATTCTCTATTTCTAGGTGAGGCCTAAGCGCATATCCTGAAACAATTCTTGTATTCAATGCAACATTTCATCTTGTTTGTCTCCCTTAGGTTTGAACCAAAGACCTTCTTATGAAATTCAATGAGTAAGTTAAAAACAATAAATAATTAACAGAATATTTTGTTACAAAACTATACACTGACGGGGTCCATGTGTATTTATTAAAAAGTAAGTGATATAATAGAGTGTAGAAGGTAGTGATTTTCAGTCTATGACCTGGTTTGGAGCTTGGAGAGATCAAAGTGGTGAAAGGAGAGTAACTGCATTATTATTATGATAAAAACCAAATGAAGCAGTCAAAGGAATTCCTTATATACAAACTATGAAGAGCTCAGGGGAAAAGGACAAAAAGAAAGCAGTTATGGCAGTTATAACAAATTGAAAGCAAAAGCAAAAATACAAAAGTGCCCTCTCTGGCTATGTATCATATCATTTCTTCATCACCCCCCCCCCCCCCCCCCCCCGTAAGGTGGAGCATGAACATCGTGAAGGCCCAGCTTGGACTGAAAGATGGCAAAGGCTGGATGTGGCAAGGCCTTGGTGAAACCATCAGCTACTTGTTTTTGAGAAGGAATGGGCAGCAGTTTTATCAATCGTTCATTGACCTTTTGCTTGACAATGTGGCAATCTATCTCTATATGCTTGGTTCTCTCATGAAAAACATGATTCTCCCCTGTGGCTATAGCAGCTTGGTTGTCACAGAACAAGGAGGCTGGCATACCAAGTCTGATTCCCAAATCTGCTAACAGATAGTGAAGCCATTGGACCTCACAAACAGTGGAAGCCAAAGCTCTATATTCAGCTTCTGAGGAAGACTTTGATACAGTAGCTTGCTTCTTAGTCCTCCAAGATATCAAATTGTTTCCAAGGTATATGCAATAGCCAGTAACTGACTTCCTAGATTCAGGGCAATTTGCCCAATCAGAGTCAGAAAAACCATAAAGCTTGAACTGGGAGTTGCTGTGATAGAATATGCCTTTTCCTGGTGATCCTTTAAGATATCTGAGCACCCTATGTGCTGCAGTGAGATGTGTGCTTGTAGGTTTGTCAACAAACTGACTCAGTTGCTGAACAATGTGAGAAATGTCTGGCCTGGTATTTGTTAAATACAAAAGTTTTCCAATCAACCTTCTGTATATCTCTGGTTTTTCAAGTAGGGATCCTTCTGAGTGTGTGAGTTGTAAACCAGTAGTGGCTGGAGTTTGTGCTGGCTTTGCTTCCAAAAAACCACTTTCTTTTAGGATTTCTAAGACATATTTTCTCTGGGACAAGTTGAGGCCACTGGCAGTCGTGACTTCCTCAATTCCCAGAAAGTAGTTGATGTTGCCAAGATCTTTGATCTTAAAAGATTTGTCCAGGAAATGTTTCAACTCATTTATGTGTGTGATGCTTGTTCCAGCTACAAGAATGTCATCTACATATATGAGTAAAGCAGTGAAGGAATTACCTGAGGCTTTTGTGAACAATGAAGGGTCTGCAGTGGACTGTTTGTAGCCATTTTCTTGCAAAGCTTTTGTCAATTTTGCATTCCACTGCCTACTGGCCTGCTTCAAGCCATACAAGGACCTCAATAACTTGCAAACCTGATTTGGTTTATCACTATGAAAGCCAAGTGGGAGCACCATGTAAACTTCTTCATCAAGATCACCATGTAAGAAAGCATTATTTATGTCCAACTGTTGAATATTCCAGTCATTTGCTACTGCCACAGCTAGAAAAGTTCTTATTGTAGTCATCCTTGCAAACTGGTGAGAAGGTTTCAGTGTAGTCTACTCCCAATTGCTGTGTGTAACCCTTTGCCACAAGCCTAGCTTTGTACCTTTCTATAGATCCATCAGCTTTGTGTTTTACTTTAAACACCCATTTGCACCCAATTGGGGTCTTACCAGCAGGAAGATCTGTCAAGGCCCATGTATTATTTGCAACTAAGGCTTCTATCTCACTGGTCATGGCCTTTCTCCATGATTCACTTTGAGCTGCCTCACTATATGACTTTGGCTCATAAGAAGACAATATAGCAGATGCACACATCCTTTGACTGACAGGCAAATGGTCATAGGAAATGACTTTATGCAGAGAATGTGGGGAGGTTCTTATGGGTGCATCATGCTTTTCTAAGGAGTGGCAATAGTAGTCAAGCATCCTGGTGGGTAAACTTCTCACCCTTTCTGATCTTCTAGGCTGTATGTGATATGAAGGTTCATCTTGTAAGTGTGCTTGTCTGGTGGCTTGATTATCCACCTCAATTTCATTAGTGACAGATAGTTCACTCCTTTCAGGCTGGAAAGGAACACTTGAGCTATCTTCTGTAGTAGAGTTTTATGTTGCCCTTGCTCCACTTTCATCATTGAATTCATTCTCATTATTTATGTCATGAAGTACTGGAGTGGAATGCCCATGACTATCATTTCCTTCATGATCATAGTGTATATAACCTGCATCAGTAGATATTAGAGGTATGACAGGGCTGTCAGTCTGAGAATGTGGCCTAGCTCTTGTAGTCTCTTCTTTGAAAGGATAATTATCCTCATAAAACTTTACATCTCTGGAAATGAAGACACAATTGTCACTTAGATCATATAGTATATATCCCTTAATATTTGCAGGGAACCCCAAGAATACACACTTCCTAGCCCTTGGCATCATTTTGTTTCTTCCCAATGAAGTAGTGGCCCCAAAACACAAGCAGCCAAAGGTTCTCAAGTTGTCATATTCTACTTCATGACAAAATAGAAGCTCATATGGTGACTTTCCATCATTCACAAGTGTTGGTAACCTATTGATGAGATAAGCAGCATGTAGGACACAGTGCCCCCAAAACTCCAATGGGACTCCTGACTGAAATTTAAGAGCTCTTGCCAGATTCAGTACATGTTGGTGTTTCCTTTCTGCTATGCCATTTTGCTGGGGAGTGTTCACACAAGACTTCTGATGTACAATTCCTTTCTCTTTAAAGAAAGAGGTCATAAAAAACTCAGTACCATTATCAGATCTCACTTCCTTGATCTTTGAAGAGAATTGTGTATTAACATAATAATAGAAGTTCTGAAATAGACTTTTGACTTCTGATTTATTCTTCATTAGGTGTAGCCAAGTGAATCTGCTAAAATCATCAACAATAGTCAGGAAGTAATGTTCTCCTTTTAAAGAAGCAGTGGCAAAGGGTCCCCAGACATCCAAATGAATCAAATCAAAACAGTTTTGTGCTCTATTATTGCTTACAGGAAAAGCAGATCTCTTATGCTTAGAAAAATGGCATATATCACATACAAAATTGGGCAATTTCTGAGATTGTACAAGTCTTATTCCTTTCAATTCTTGTATCTTATCTATAGGGTAATGTCCCAACCTACTATGCCATGTTTGTAAGGACAAAGCATTACAATTCTTATCTATACTTCTCCTCTTGACAGGTGGATGATCAAGCATGTATAGCCCATCCCTTTCCTTAGCAAAACCACCCATTATCCCATTGGGCCCCTGGATATTGCATTCATTAGCATTCAAAACAAGGGTACAGTCAGTTTGATTTACCAACTTGCTAGCAGATATTATATTGAAAGTGAAGGAAGGTATGTGTAAAACATTCTTCAACAATAGATTAGGAGAAAGCTTCACTTCTCCTATGTATGCAACCTGTATACTTTGTCCATTTGGCAATTTGACAGAAACATCATCAAGTTTATAATAGTTTTCAAGATAGTCCAAAGAGCAAGTAATATGGTCAGTGGCACCAGAATCCAGAATCCAGACATCAGGACAATTTAAGATAGCATTTATGTGAGATTTAGGGGTGAACCTGCCTTCTTTTGACTCTTCTCCCAAATTTGTGAAGTCTGGTCTTACTCCACTCTTATTCATTGTAACTACAGCATTGGCATATGACTGTGCTGCTTGGTTTTGTCCTTGCAGGAGTGTCAACAGCCTTTGGAACTGATCAGGTGTCATTCCTATATCACCAACCTGATTGACATAAGAGCTGGGAGCATGCTGGTTCAGTTGAGTGTCTTGACTCTGTCTATTTTTGGACTTGTAACTAGGTATCCATCCTGGAGGATACCCATGCTTCTTAAAGCATTTCTCTATGGTGTGACCACTCATCCCACAGAAGGTGCATTTTGCCATACTCTTTCCTCCATAGTTGCTGAACTTCTTCTTATTAAAAGAAGTCCCCATAGCTACAACACTTTGCTCTTCTGAGGGCATGTTCTGGACAGCATTGGCCTGCACCACTTTAGTATTTTTATGGTTGATAGAACCATTGAGTTTTCTTTCCAACTTCAAGGCCATATTCAAAACTTTCTCCATGTTAGGAATCGGATCCATGACCAGGACACCAGACTTTGTTGTCTCAAACTCATCATTTAACCCTTCCAAAAACCTGATCACTTGATCATCCTCTCTATCCTTACTTATTCTATTCATCAGCTTACAAGCACATCTAGGAACACACTCACATACAGGCAAGGATTTCACAGCATTCAATTGTTCCCAAAGAGCATTAGATCTAGTAAAATATTCATTGATGGACTTGTTACCTTGTGTGTTTCTGTAGATTTCATTTTGGATCTCAGCTATCTTATGCGGATCTGACTGGGAATACCTTTTCTCCAATGCATTCCAGATATCCTCTGCAATCTCAAAGTATAGCACACTCTCTGCAATGGTGGAATTGAGAGATTTTAGGATCCAGGCACACACAATATCATTACACCTCTTCCAGGCAGCAAACTTGGGATCAGATCTCTCAGGACTTGGAATGGCACCATTCACGAAACCAAGCTTATTCTTCACACCTAGTGCGATCTTCATTGACCTACTCCATGTTGCGTAATTGTGCTCGGACAATGGAGGTGAGACAAGCGAGAGATTTGGATTTTCTGTGATACGGAGATACAATGGATCATCAAAATCATCCACTCGACGTATCGGATTCTGACTTGCATGAACTTGACTGGCCGTAGCAGAGGTTCCTCCGGCATTTCCCGTAGGGTTTCCTCTGGTGACTTCTCGATCCATACTCACAACAGCGGCGTAACTGTGGCGTCGCTCTAATACCATGTAGAAGGTAGTGATTTCCAGGCTATGACCTGGTTTGGAGCTTGGAGAGATCAAAGTGGTGAAAGGAGAGTAACTGCATTATTATTATGATAAAAAACAAATGAAGCAGTCAAAGGAAGTCCTTATATACAAGCTATGAAGAGCTCAGGGGAAAAGGACAAAAAGAAAGCAGTTATGGCAGTTATAACAGATTGAAAGCAAAAGCAAAAATACAAAAGTGCCCTCTCTGGCTATGTATCATATCATTTCTTCATCATAGAGGGTAATGTAGAAAAAAATAATAAAAATTACAAAAATCAAAATAATACGAAGCTTTCATTTCAAATTTCAACAACCGATTAAACCAACTTGTTTTAGTAGATATTTTAAAAATATAAAGAGGTGAATAAATTGATATAAAAATTACAAACTGGTAAATTATAAAAGTTTGTTTAATAGAAGTGTAAATATAAATTTTATTTAAAAAATATATATATATAAAATGGAATTTATATAATAAATTAGATAAGAGTTTAGTCCATAGGGTTGCTTAAATCGAGATGCCAAACTTAACGAAATTATGCTCTAGGGCTGCATGTTTGGTTCGGGAGGCTTAACACAAATGCAAAGGTAATGCGTTTGCCGGGAGTCAAACCCAGGTCAATTGCTTGGAAGGCAATTATCCTAACCGTTGGACTACAAACGCAATTTCATTATATGGTACTTTCTTTGTATAACGCTATGACATCTACATTCTCAACCGGGAATGACATAATGTTATTGAGAATATGAATTATGTAATTTTCGAATCTCTATTTCTAGGTGAGGCCTAAGCGCATATCCTTAAACAATTCTTGGATTCAATGCAACATTTCATCTTGTTTGTCTTCCTTAGGTTTAAACCAAAGACCTTCTTATGAAATTCAATGAGTAAGTTAAAAACAATAAATAATTAACATAATATTTTGTTACAAAAGTATACACTGACGGGGTCCATGTGTATTTATTAAAAAGAAAGTGATATAATAGAGGGTAATGTAGAAAAAACTAATAAAAATTACAAAAATCAGAATAATACGAAACTTTCATTTCAAGTTTGAACAACCGATTGAACAAACTTGCTTTAGTAGATATTTTAAAAATATTAAGAAGTGAATAAATTGATATCAAAATTACAAACTGGTAAAATATAAAAGTTTGTTTAATAGAAGTGTGAATATAAATTTAATTTTAAAAAATATATATATATAAAGGAATTTATATAATAAATTATTAAATTTGAAAAGAGTTTAGCCCATAGGGTTGCTTAAATCGAGAAGCCAAACTTAACGAAATTAAGCTCTAGGGCTGCATGTTTGGTTTGCTTAATTCGAGAAGCTTAACGAATGCAAAGGTAATGCGTTTACCGAGAGTCAAACCCGGGTCTATTGGTCGGAAGGAAATTATCCTAACCGTTGGACTACAAACGCAATTTCATTATATGGTACTTTCTTTGTATAACGCTATGACATCTACATTCTCAACCGGGAATGTTATAATGTTATTGAGAATATAAATTATGTAATTTTCAAATCTGTATTTCTAG